AGTGTACACTTTCTCTGGGTGTGATGGGTAACACACCTGATGTTGCTATCTAGTGCAGTGAGATGAGATCGAGGGCCCCATGTGTAGGAAAACATTTGTCTCTTTGAAAGCATGTGAACCATCTGATCACCCTGAGTAGTGCAGAATTAAATGCACTTCTATGTGAGGCCTGTGGGGGTAGAAGTTATTTTCATATAAACAAACAGCATAGGGACCAAAAGGCTGGGAGCAGCAGGATGCTCTGCTCAGTGTTAATCCTCTGCCGTATTCCATCTTTGTCCCTGTTTCTCAATGGCTTGCACACTTCTCTTTGCTCTGGTATAACGTCCGCACCTTCTGCTTCCAAACACCTCACTGAAGAATCATATTAAGTAACAATCAAAGAATAACTTGTCAATCTGTGGAGACATGGCAGGCACCATAACACTGGGCTAACATGTTATAGGTACAAGTCGAAGAAGAAAATGCTTAAAAGCTGCCAGCGTGTTAAAGATTATTTGTTTCTACCAGTGCTAAAGTTATGTTTGCTATGTTAATTCAACCTCATTTTCTAGTAAAGGCCAAACACTATCAAGTGGTTATCTGCATTGATTTTTCTGTCTTCTGAAATACTCAATCAGTTGAAAAGCATCTTTGCTGCTTTAGTGTTCCTGGAACTAGGAGCATCTTTTAAAAGGATCTTTCTTGGCAAATCTCAACTACTTTACTCAGTGATATTTTCCTGGTCCACTTCTTGACCTCTCCATCAGTGTTGTCTTTAGCAGGTGCTCCTTTTTGCATTTTTCCTGGCTTCTCCCTGTGGCATTCTCAAGCCTCCCACCTGGATAGTCACTGAAAGGGGTCAGCACCCACAACAGGTTGAACCGGTGCCTCTCACAAGCATCCTTATTCTGCTGAATAAGGTTAGCTGATTGTCACTTAAAAAGGCTCATCAGTACCCTGATGGTTTAAATTAGAAGATGGGAAGAAAGAAAAAGAGTATTTGCTATCTGTCCTTCCTTTCTTGTCTGAATCTCTTCTTATACTTTTTGTATGCTGCCTGCTTTGCTTTTCATTTTGTGTCTTAGCTGCTTGTGATACATAGTGTGTTGGGTACAGGCTATTTGTTTGGAAAGAGTAAGTGCATTTAGAAGAATGCAGCCAGGTTACACTGTGAAAATATGGTTAAAGACAAGGCTGAGTGTCTGTCACTGTGAATAGATGATGTGAAAATTGTATAGTTGGGCACTGATGGTTGCTCAAGGAACACTTGGAGTAGGCTTACAGAGATTCACTGTCTGACAAGTGTGTTGTCACCTAAATGAGACTAACTAAGATAGGAGGCTTTTGAGGGAAATATTTTCAGGAAGGAGAGCAAACATGAGGGTTTGAAAGAACAGAGGAAACTTTTTCTGGTTGGGTTTTTTGTTGGGTTTTTTTGTGTGTCTTTGGCATTGCCTCTCTGGCTACAGAACTCTGAATGCACACACTAGACCACACAATGAAGCTAATTCTTTGTGGATTGTTTGTATGCAACTTTTCTAAAGTTACATGTTGCCATTTGCAAGGCTTTAATATCCTTTACTTAGCAAAGTCTTTTGCATTATGATCAAGGCATATTCTCTTTGGCATCCATCCACGCTGCTCTCATAGTCCTTGATATTCTTGAAGTATCTGAGGTAAAGAAGCAGTTTTCTCAATTAACAGACTGTCTTCCATAAAGTGTTAAATTCATGGGAATTTAAGTGCACAATTACACCTCAAATCAGATTTTTAGGCAACCTGTGTTGCACAGAATATTTTGTCTCAGGCTTTAAGAGGATTCTGTTTGAAGATATACAAAGTATGAATTTTCACAATTTTGGGATAAGACATTATTATTTATAATATTTAAAATGAAACACTTCCTCTAGCTTTCAGCTTTCTTAAAAGGATACATCCAGCATTCCTTCTTGCCAGTACCGAATTGAACGGTGTCTTCTCTTCACTGTGTTCCAAAAAGTATTTTTATGTATGTTTTTAGAAGGAAATCCAGTTTCTTACTTGCAGCTGTTGGCATTTTAGAGCCCTGGAGTGAACCAATAAAAACACATGTTCTTTTTAAGTACATCTATTTTTACTGGACCTTGCTAACAACCAATGACACAGAATGCAAAAAATGTTGGCTCAAATGAATAGAAAGCTGCATTGTTTTAAATTCTATGTTAAAAATTTTCTTTACAGCAGAATTACACAGACATGTCATATGCTCTTGTTCTTCTGAAAAAGAGTACATGCTATTAGCATGCTATTTTAATGTTTTAAAAGTAGTTCAGGTATTAAAGTGTTGTAGAATATAAAATTTTAGTAAGTCATAAACAATTTTCCTGTTTAAGAGTATTATAATACTCTCACAAATAAGATAAAGATTTTACTTCCTACAAAGGTAGGAACAAATACATTTTGATTGATAATTCAGAATATCTTCTGTTGTTAGACTGTTTCCAACATCTTAAGACCCTTATGTGTAAAGGTCAAATTAGACCACCATTCCTTTCAGTGGATTCAAGCAGTATCCTGCTTGAATGTGCATAGTTTTTTTCAGGTATCAACATTCTTAGTGGAAATGAAATTCAATAATTATTTTTAAATGCTACCAAGATTGATGTAAATGTAATCATGTCAAGGTTGACTTGGTACGGAGGTCCATCTATTTTATGTTACGTGTGTTGCACCTTCATCCTACATGCTCTGTGTGCTGCATGATGTTCGAGTCCCACTGCTGATGTTCATTTCCCTGTCATGTCCTCACAGGAGTGGAGAGGAGATTAAGATTGCATGAATTTAGCTATGCAACCTGCCCTGTACTTCAAGATCTTTTTCCATGTGGTCCTGTAGCTAGGTTTTGCTCTTAGCATGTTTTCACTTCTCTTTTGGAATCAAGAGAATAGCATTAATATAAATTCATGTTTTAAAGGCAGGTTGAGATTTTGGCCTTTTTCATGATATTTACAGTAAGAAACTTTTGCTGTTGTCAAAGCACTGTATTGAAGAAGAGTGATGACAAAGCAGAAAAGGGAGAGGTCTGCTGATCTTAAGTGATGTAAAGTGTCATAATAGTGCCTGAAGTACTAGGTTGATTTTATTTTTTTAAATAGTATTTAGATTATGTATGCTAGAGAAAAAAACTCTACAATCTGGGTTTAATGCTTCAGGAGCTTTATTAGCAGCTTCATGTCTGCAGACACATAATTTTCATGCTGGAGATGGAAGAAGAATTATAGCCATGATTCGGTCACGTGTGATTTTTTTCTGTGTATGTGAGAGAAACACAGATATTAAATGTCTCAAGTCTGTAAAAATATTTGCAATCAAATATACTTTAACTTTTTTTTCTGTATTTCCCGGTTTTATGGGAAAGTGTCTTTTTTTCTTGCAGTAAAAATGAAGCTGTGCATTAAGTAACTTTACAAGACACTGAAAAAATTCACTAGGCCAGACAGATTTGCTGCCTTTAAAAAATATAAAAATAGAAAAAAAGAGGCCAGATTTCTGAAAGAAGTAATGAAATAGAACAACAGATATGTGAATTTATTTTTTAAATAATACTGTACTTAAAACTTATTAAAATATAAGATTGAATAATGCTCTTTTACATACGATGCTGGATACCTGATGTGCAGTACATTGTTACGGACTTATTTTCTGATTAAGAAGTGTATGTATTGGTATGTCTTTAAAATTTTATGTTGAGAACCTTTGGTTCTTCTTATTTTACGTAGACCTCAGTTACAATTTTTGCAGTTCTACAGCTCTCTTTTTCACAGTTTTTCTCTTTTTTTTTTTTTTTGGAGTTGACATGATCCATGCTTCCTTGTCCCAGGTATTGAATTGCTCAGGAATACATTGTATGCAATTGATGGGATGCTCAGTTCTGTGTCTTCCAGTGTCACTAAGATAACACAAGAGACAGATGTTTCCAGGTCTTTCATTGAGGCAGCATTGCTTACCTGGGGAGTTTATCATTCCTTTCTCATGAGTATTTTCAAAAAGTGTTTATTGAAATACTTTTTGTCACTGAATTGTCTTTTGTTGCAACAGAGTCTATCAGCTTTTGATTTTGGTGGTGATATCCTAACTACTTGCTTGTAATATTTAAAATATTCCTGCTAATGCTGTGTTTTTCTCCAGTCCTAGCAGTTGTTCCACTATGTCTTCCTGGTACTTCATCTGTTTGGTTTTGCTTATTTGAAAAAAACAGTATTTTTAATTTTTTTTGTAAGACAATGAACTGTCTGCTGACAACCAATTACTCTTTTCAAACAAAGGAAACTGGGCAAGACCTCTTATGGCTGCCATAAAAAAAAAGTGAAATATAATTTAACTCACAACTTGCAGATCTTTAATCTTTAAAATTGATCTTTGGCTGACAGCAGTAAGTACATGTGTGTGCGCACACAGTAGCAAATGTTAAATTTTTCATTCTTTGTCATTAGGTTAAATACTTAAGCAAAACAGTCATAAAACTTCTTTCAAGATGTGGTGTGCGATTGGGAATTAGAGTAATCTCTTAGCATGAAAAATACAAGTATAAAAATTACATGTATATTTCCTAATGAAAAGTGGAATCCTGGATTTGAGAGGAGAGTCTTTCATTTGCTTGCTTTTCTAAAAGCATGTATTGCTTCCTTTATATCCAGTTTCTCAATACATGGAAGCTGAAATCTAACCTTATATTGGCATAACTAGGATGAGAAATGCAACCTGACACTTTTAAGATTTTTTAAATCATCCTGCAAAATGTCTTTATCTGTTACAAACTTAGCTTTTTTTTGGCATATGGTTGGACAAGGAAGAAACTGAATAATGATGCAAATTTTTAAAATGTAGCCCTAACACTGCTCTGGGATTGTAGCTTGCTTTTGTCTGATCCTTTCACTACTAGAGAAATGGTGATGGAGTTATTTACGTTAATTCATTTGGCTTGTTGAAAAAAATATCCCCACACTCCTCTACTTAATGGGATTCTTTCCCCGTTGCAGTGCAAACGGCTGGAGCAGGAGCTTCATCATCTGAAAGAGCAGAACCAGACTTCAGCAAACAACACGAGACATCTGACTGCTGAAAACAATCAAGAACGTGCTCTGAAGGTAAATCTCCATTTCTTCTTGCAGGCAAATTAAGGTTGTAAGCCCCTGGTGCCAGCTTACTAGGCTGCATATATCAGTTGTGTACATTTCAACAGAAGTGAGCTATGGTGTTTGCCAACAACCCCTTCTTTAAACACAGATACAGCACCCTTCTGTTATGGTTTTCTTTTTATTTTGTGTATGAAAACAACAAGAAAAAACCCCATATCCTCCAAATTATTGGGCTGGTAATTAACGCTAAATTCTTAAGATCTGTCCTTGCAATATTACATTTTATAACATGAAGAAAACTGCAACTGTTTGCCTCGTGGTACCTTTGCAAAACTAATATTTTAAAGCATGGCTGTTTGATCTGCTCCCAGCAGTGTGTGCTATATTAATAACATTGTTGACCTATGCTACTAGTGACCACATAGTTGATACTACTATTTGCAAAAGGGTAGCTAGTTGGAATTGGGAGGAGGAATAATAAGTCTTGTCAATAAGAATAAAAATGAGCAGAGAGACGGGAAAGGGTCAGAGAAAGGACAGTGTAAAGTGACAGTTACTGCTGCTTTGAGAAAGGGAAATTGTAACATCAGTGGAATTGATCGCTGCATAACCAGCAACCTCCCTGCTACCCAGAATAGGAGACTATGCCAGGTAAGATGTGCAAGAATTGTGCACACCTATTCAGCCACTGTATTCTTAAAAATCTTTTATGGGTAGTGGAGAGACAATAGAAATACAGAGGTTACTCTGTTGATACTGTGTTGTCATTTTAAAGCTGTGTTTTATTTAGGCAGTGAGATTCAAACGTAGCTCATTTATAGGCAGGTTTTTCTCTGCCTTCTTTTGAAATTTTATATATATTGGAAACATCATAGTTCATGCAACAGCTTGACCAATGTAAAGTATAGGAATTAAGGTAAATCCTTGTGTAGCTTGACATTCTCAGAAAAAAAGAAAAAAAAGTTTAATGAATAAACAGAGAGGCTGTGTGACACACGAAGACTGTGTTCCAGGCATTTATAATTGCCATCAGAATCTGTGGTGAATATTACAAAATCAGGTGTGCAATATTGAAAGCAGTCCAACCTCAGATGACTACAAACAGAGATAGTGAACATTCGGGGCTGTTTCTAACAACAATAAAAGTATTGTTTTGAATCTTATATCACTAAAAGTTAGTGCTTGCCAAACATGCTACTTACTGAACGTAGTGTTGTTTTTCATTAATTGAATGCTGACTTGTTTTTTCTGTGTCACTGAAAATATTATGCACAGAGTCTTTCTGTTAGAAAACAGAAACGCTTTATTGAAAGTACACTTTTTACATTTAATACTGCCTGACATACTGCTTACAGAATAACTGTATTTTCAGAGCAAGAAGTGACGTAGCAGTTCAGAGCGTTACTAGGATTTAATTCTAAGCCTGATATTGCTCTCCCAGCACCTAATCTTTAAAGAATTTAATTTCTGGCTGTCACAGGCTTTTTTCAATTTCTCAAAGCTAGAGGTTAATTGGTCACAGTCTTTTAGAGATGAGAATCTGGGGAGGAAAAAAATGCATTTTAATTTTTCATAAAGTTAAACTTTTAAAATATTGTATATCAGTAGAGTTTGTCTCAGTAAATATTACTTTTAGCTACAATGAGGACAGGTCCATCTGAGTATTTTAAAAGGCTGATGGATCAAGTTGAATTCTTGACCTTGAAACCTTTAAAATGCTCCAGTGAAATACTGGCAGTAGTAGTTAGCTTTGATACACAGCATATGAACATAAATCCTGGCCTAAGCACTCATGTAAATGAAAAGCTTATCACCCCTTTTTAGTGTAGCTACAGTCTAGAAAGCGTGGACTGACTGGTCAGCAACTCCTTTAGAAATGGCTGGCCAGGGCACTTCTGCTGCCATCAGTGGCAGAGTTGTCTGATGGACAAATGTCCATCCAGAACCACCTGGCAGGTAATGGCACCATTGAGTCTTGGCACACACTTCCCCTCTGAAACCCACTTGTACTTAACTGCCACCTCCTGCCTCTTGTATGCACTCAGCAGCAATCATAAGTGCTACATGCAGAGTGCATGTACAGACCCGAGCATCCCCTCCTGTCCCCTCTTCACTGAAGATCACCCTCTCACCATCTGACCATTTTTGGAGAAACAGAACAGGCCATTTGTCTTTGTGGTGCATAGTTAAATATCAACACCATTATTTTTATTTTCACCATGTTCCAGAGAACTACATTTACTTTAACCAGTTCCACATGCAAATTGAGAACTGCACTATGTCCTGTTAATTCAGATGTAAATACCTGTCCTGCAGGAGGAGTCCAGGTGTCTATCCAGAACAGTTTCTGTTAAGAAAGTTGGGGTTTCTTTAAATATTTAATTTTCCCTACTCGCTTAATTAATGTCTGATTCAGTTTGGCAAAAGATGTATTCTGGTGATACGTGGCAGATGAGGAATTTGATCTGCTTTAGATTTTCTTCAGGGAGTAGTAGAAGTGTAAACATTGGATGTGGTGCATGGGTACTTGCAATCTTTACTGGATCAAAATGCAGTAATCAGGATCAGCTAGCTTATGGATGGAATAAAAGTTTGCAATAAAGGATGAGGTCATTACCTCTGTGGGGTCCTGAAATATACTTATCAATAAAGCCCAATGGGTATTGTTTCTTTCTTTCATACTTTTTAAAATCATCTCACAGTATTGAGTTGTTCGGAAGAAAAACCAGCATAAAACCAATCAACAATAAACCATTCCACTGATTACATGTTCTAATAGGTAAGATAAACTGCAAGCTTTCAGCTTTATTTTTAGCTGTATTAACTCACAGGGTTACTGCCACACTTCTATGAGACAGTAGCAGCCCATAGACTCCTGAGGCAGAGCAGCAGTGACAGATTGTAACCATGGGACAGGTACGGTGGCAGTAAACTGGCCAGATGCAGGATCTGAAAGTCACAAAGACGATGTAAGTGCTCTTGCATACTTTAGGTCCTATATCACACCTGAGGATCACGTGACAAATAAAATATATGACGCTTCGGGCATGTTATATAGACTTAGACTGTGCCATTTCACCTTAGTGTGCAATGTAGCTAATCTGCACATCTTTGCTAAGGTAGCTCTTCTTAACCAATCTCTGTCATCGGTATTAGTAGTATGCGATTTAAAATTTCCAAATTTAATGTGTTTATTGCATAGAACATTCCTTATAGTGATGTGGGTTGTTCTGTCTCACTGTGCCAAACTGGTACTCCTAATTTTTATACTACCCTTCTTGGTCATAAGGGGTTGTATTAATTGAACAAAAATGCCAATTTCAAACCTATCCTCCAGGCAATGCCCACAAATGCACAGAGGTCATTCAGAGAAGTATGTGGGCCCCTATTTCCATGGTTAGCGTAAAATAATCCTCTTCTTTGTGAAACCGTTTTTAAAAATCTCTTATAATATTTCAGATTGAATTACAGCTAAATCTTTTAGGGATAATTGCTTCCTAAGGGCCTATACATTTGCACTCTTTGTACATTTTCATAAAATAAGATCTGCAGAGTGCTTTGCAGTCCTAATGTGCCAGGGTCTATACGTAAGATTATTCATTTGTGCTTGGCCTTCATAATTAACATTTGGTCTCTGCTGATTCTGATAAATGTATTCCCACAACACACTGAAATACCTGATTCAATTAAACATAGAAAAGTTGAAGAATTGCTATTTTTTCATTAGTATTCAAATATTGTTGAATATAATTTTATTCTTAGCTTTATATTGTAAAGTAGTTTTGAAGTGTAAAGTTTTAAGCAATACATTCTCCTAAAGAAAAATAAAGACTTTACTTACTACCCTTGACTTCAGGAGGGCAGATTTCAGCCTCTTTAGGGATCTGCATGAGAGAGTGTCATGGGATAACATCCTAGAGGGAAGAGGGGCCCATGAAAGCTGGCTGATATTTAAGAATCACCTCCACCAGGCCCAAAAGCTTTGCATCCCAACTAAGAGAAAGTCAGGTAAAAACTTCAGGAGGTCAGTGTGGGTAAGCAAGCAGCTCCTAGAAAAACTCAGACTTAAGAAGGAAGTATGCAGAGGGTGGAAGCCAGGGCAGGTGCCCTGGGAAGATTACAGAGAGGTTGTCCAAGCAGCTAGGGATAAGGTAAGGAGAGCCAGATCCCAGATAGAATGAAATCTTGCCAGGGATGTAAAGAGGAGTAGGAGAAGCTTCTATAGGTATGTTGGGGATAAAAGGACAACCAAGAATAATGTAGGCTCTCTCCTGAAGGAAACACGAGACCTAGCTATGCAGGATATTGAGAAGGCTGTTGTTCTCAATTACTTACTTGCAGCAGTGCTCCAGCCTCATGGCAAAGGCCACAGAAGGTGAAAGCAGGGACTGGGAGAAAGAAGCACCCCCCACTATAGGAGAAGAAGTTCATGACCATCTAAGGAATGTGAAGGTGCACAAGTCTATGGGACCTGATGGGGCCCATCCATGCATCCTGAGGGAGCTGGCAGATGCAGTTGCTAAGCCTCTGTCCATCATATTTGAGAGGTTATGGCAGTCTGGTGAGATTCCCACCAATTGGAAAAAAGGTCACATAGCCCCTATTTTTAAAAAGGGGAAAAAGGAAGACCCAGGGAGCTACAGGCTGGTCAGTCTCACCTCTGTGCCTGACAAGATCATGGAACAGATCCTCCTGGAAAATCTGCTAAGGCACATGGAAAATAGGGAGGTGATTGGTGACAGCCAACATGGCTTCACTAGCTGCAAATCATGCCTGACCAATTTGGTGGCCTTCTATGACAAAGCTACAGAGATGGTGGATAATGGCAGAGCAACTGACGTCATCTGCCTGGATTTGTGCAAGGCATTTGACACTGCCTCACATAACATTCTAGTCTCCAAACTGACAAGACATGGATTTAACAGATGGACCACTCAGTGGATAAGAATTTGGCTGAATGGCCGCACCCAGAGAGTTGTGGTTAAAGGGCTCAAATGTCCAAGTGGAGG